AGAACTGGATATCCCTTCAAAACTACAATTGTTACCCCATTTATAAAAAGGAAATGTCTTTTTATTGATGAAGGGTTAAAAGTATTTAGCTAGAAACTTAATTTTGTGGCTATACACTTTTAGTCCATCATCAAGTTGTATCAAATTGCTTTATTTGCTAGAGCTTTAAATGTCATGAAGCCATACCATTTATTTTATTTTAGGATGTTACATTTGATTCTGATTTTAAGCTTCCATTTCCCTTACGTTCTGAAATTAATTCATACAATTCCCTGATTAATAATAAAAGGGCTTGCCATCAGTATTCAAAGCCCAGCCTGAGTTGTCATGGCTGAGAGGGCAGAAATCTGCTTGGAGTAATGAGAGAACCCAACTGAATTCTTGGCGTCTCAGTCTATGAATGTGTAAGCACTTCATCTGTTCAAGGAGACACAATGTTCTGGCAGGCCTGGGGTAGAGGTAGCTGCATGAGTAACAGACTGAAGAGCTGGGAGGCAGGACTGCATCAATGGAACCAAATTGCAGCAGCAACACATTCTGCAGGTCTTCCTTTAATTTTCCCACACAAAAAGGTATTATCTAGTGGAAGCTGTTTGTGTTCTAGGCACATCTTCCATCCCTACACAGCTGTTATCTCAGGATCTTTACAGAGGTCACACGTGGAACTGACTTTTAGCACTGTATTAAAAAAAATGTTGCAAATCACACCATAACACAAGCAAGGCCAACTGAAAACTGCTTATCCTTTTCATATCCAGTAGTGAGAATGATACTTTGCCAGACCCAATTTCCACCGAGCAAGTGAGCAGTAAATATCTCTGAACGTTAGTGTCTTGTCTGTAGAATGAAGATAATATCTACCTTAGAGAATTACTGCAAAGATAATATGGTAATAAGCTGAAAGACTGTAAACTATTACACACATTATATAAAACACCATTTGTTATTTGAAAGGTAGAAATATTAAGAGATCACATAGCACAAACATGATACTTGCCCGGGAAAATACAGTGCTATTGCAAAGTCAAGCGGCTTTGATTCTTGCACTTCTTCATTAGATTATCATTCTTCATTTATATCATAAAGAGTAATCAAAGTAGCCAAAATGTCTTGAGTGATTACTAGGTGTTTTGTCAGGTACTACTGCTGTGTTTTATATATAGTAATTTAATCCTCAAACCTATCCTTACGGCAGGAGCTGTGGCATAGTGGGTAAAGCTGCTGCCTGCAGTGCCGGCATCCCACATGGGCGCTGATTCAAGTCCCGGCTGCTCCACTTCTGATCCAGCTCTCTGCTGTGGCCTGGGAAAGCAGAAGAGGACTTGGGCCCCTGCACCCACGTGGGAGACCTGGGAGAAGCTCCTGGTTCCTGGCTTTGGATCAGCATAGCTCCGGCCATTGTTGCCAACTGGGGAGTGAACCAGCGGATGGAAGACCTCTCTCTCTCTCTCTCTCTCCCCCTGTCTCTCTGCCTCTCCTTTTCTCCTCTATGTAACTCTTTCAAATAAATAAGTAATCTTTAAGAAAACACTCTCCTGAGGCAAGTACTCTCAGCATCTCCACGCTGCACATGAGGAAAGTGAGGCACACAGCTGGGAAGCACCAGCGCTGAGACTTGACGTCACCCAGCGGAGCTCTTCCCTACACTGTACTCACTCATTCACTCAGCACATACTTACTGAGCATGTGGTATGTGCCAAGAACTCTGACAGAAAAATTTCAATAAGGATCTCAAAGCAGTCCTCTTCTGCAGGAAGCCGACAGAGGAATGCTGCACAAGACTGGGAAGTGAACAACGGCAGTGAAAGTCACTAGAGGAGACAGGACATCGGAACATGGACGTGTAACAGAGCAGCAGATTTCAGAGGTGAAGACACGGTCGGAAGACAGTAGCCAGGTGAGGGAGGAAGCGCATTTCCAGGGCGGGGATGAAGAGAAATCTCAGGATGATATCTGTGCAACAGGTTAGAGCTGAAGATGGACTTTTCCAGAAGGGACACCTCCCAGGAAAATGTGGGACCCATCATGTCACGTGTTTGACTACACTGAGAAGAGTTTTACAACTCTAGCGGGCAAGCTGAGGAAAGAATGACTGGAAAAGAGAAGACTAAGAAAATGAAAAACCAAGAGAGAGGCAACTATTAAGGATAAGAAAAACAAAATATTGCGACACACGATACAGACAGTATTTTTCATAGTTACAGACTTATCTGTTCTCTTTCCATCTTTGCCTTGCTTGCCTGGCATCCCTTCCTCCACAGTGAATGGGCTTTCGCCTCATGGCTTGTTTTCACCAAAGGAGTAAGAGCAGCTGCGACATTCGCAAATCCAAGCAAAAGCATTTAATGCACTTGTGCCGTCTGGCTCTGTCTGGCTTTAGATACTGAGTGTCTACTAATTGAGGTTGTATCCCAGAGCAAGAACACACGTGCAGTCAAGATGAGCTGAAGTAGCAGCAACAACATGGCTAGCAGAATACAGCAGAGCCTCAACTAATCACAACCTCTTGAAATAGCATAAAGTAAGAAAGTACGGGCGCCGGGTTCTAGTCCCGGTTGTTTCTCTTCCAGTCCAGCTCTCTGCTGTGGCCTGGGAAGGCAGTGGAGGATGGCCCAAGTGCTTGGGCCCTGCACCCGCATGGGAGACCTGGAGGAAGCACCTGGCTCCTGGCTTCTGATCAGTGCAGTGCCAGCCGTAGTGGCCATTTGGGAGGTGAACCAACGGAAGAAAGACCTTTCTCTCTGTTTCTCTGTCTATAATTCTACCTGTCAAATAAATAAATAGAGAAACAAATTTTAAAAAAAGAAAGTATGAAATAGCCTAAAGTAAGAAAGAGCATATTAGAATATTTAAATGAGATACTATAACCTATAGATGACACAGTGATCTAAACAATAAATAATCACTGAAAGTGATTGAAAGTCACTGAAATTTGGGGGTTGTTGATGCAGCAACAGTTGACTGATACACACAGTACAGTCCATAGCTTCACATTGAAAAATATTCATGTAGTCAAAACAAATAATGATTAATAAGGATCCAATCAGAAAACTGAAATTAAAAGCTGTGATATAACTACAGGAGGGTCAGAGAAGGAGAAGAAGCCAAATAAAACAGTTAAATCCTAATCCAACATAGAAGGAAATCAATAATGTCAAAGTTGAAAAATCAAGAAATAAAAGTGTATTATTCAGAATTATAGATGTAAATTGCAAAAGAAACAATAGAAGAATTGAAAACGTAGCCTCAAGGGAGCTAGAACCAAACATGAGAAGGATACAGAGCAAGGGAGTACTACTTTTTGTTATTAGACCAATATTACTATTTGACTTTTTTTTTTTTTTGAAAACCAACACCTCTCCTCCTGTAAGTGGCCTTAGGTGACCTTGAAAATGGCTCACTAGTCACTTGAGCCAGAAAATCCCATGAAATCATGCAAATCAAAGGGTTCAAATCTTCATATTCACTTTAAGAACTCCTGAGAAGCCGCCCAGGCCTTCAAGGTACGTGTATCTGAAAAGCCACCGAGTATCTGAAAGATGTCACATTAAAGAAGCGATGTGTGCTACTTTATAGTTACGACAGTGGAGTTGATAGGTGTGCCCAGCCAAACAGTGCAGGTCAGTGGCTCTGAAAGAGTGCCTAAGTTTTGTGGCACATGCTTAAAAATGCAGAGAAAGGTTGAACTTAAGGGTTTGGAGGCAGACTGGTCACTGAACACGTTCAGGTGAACAAAGCGCCCAAGACGCACCACTGCCTACAGAGCTCAGGGTCAGAGCTCCCCCTGCCGCATGGAGATGATCCTCACTGCAAAAAGAAACACACTGTTCTTGCACTAGAACAGAAGATGGTACAAAAGAGAGAGACATCCCACGAGGAGGCAAAGAAACAAAACTGTTACTCTATGAATAAATTTAGCATAAAATGTGGTTGAAGTAAAAAATGAAACTATTTCCATGTTTAATTTTATAAAAACTTGAGCTTACAAGCCAAAAAAAAAAAAAAAAAAAAGAATAAAGTCAAAGGAAGTAACTGTGCTTCCTTTCTTTGAAAAAAAAAAAAATATATATATATATATATATAAGTATCCTAATTTCAGAAGGCAAAAAAAATAGAACTCTAACTGGAATCAGAAACCTGGCATTATTTTGTCACAGTTTGGCTTCTGCCACATCTTTCTTTGCTCTATTTGTTTCATTACTTAGCACAGAACAGTGTTACCGCCTTCCCTTTACTGTAGTATTATAGTTTTACATTTCAATTCCAGATGCCACTGATCACATATTACAGGAAAGATGTTGCCTAATCATAAGGGCTAATATGTATAGGCAGCTCTCAATTATACATAAATTGTTTACTCAACAATTTTGTGTGCCTTCTTCCTAACAATTACCACTTCTAGGCCATTTTAAAAATTTTTCTAAATCAGTGAGAAAAACAAATAAAAGTGAATTGATACATTTTGTTCCTTTGTTAACAACTATACTTCATAAACAGTTTAAGCTCAATATGTGAAGTTTTATTCACACAACAAATACATGAAGAAATAGTATATTTTACAAAATAATTTATTATGGGATGCCTTTAAATACTGGGCCAGGAGTTGATTTACTGGACTCACTCAAAATTTTACATATTTTATAGGCTTATGTTTATTGAGAAATGAACAAAATACACCTTTAAGGTATTAGGATAGACAATATTAAAGATATTTATAAAAGAGATTTTGAAATTACCTGCTGGTTCAATTATCTCAACAGTCTCTCTCTATCACCAACAGATGGAAATTATTTGCTGCGAGTTTCAGCTGGTAGCTTCTGCTACAGGGACAGGACTACACTGCATAAGGACACAGAAGCTATCTTAACTGAGTGACGCCATCTCATGGATCTGCGCCTCACCATGCTGACTTGTAGTTCTTGGCCCTTCCCCTCAGGAAAAGGCACTGGGGTAGAACAACAAAACATAAGAAAACAATGAACAGGGCACGCTTTTCATACCTCTTCATCTTTCATATTCACATCCACATTTTTCGATTTGATGGCTTTGGTTATATGGTCAATGTTGTTTTCCCTGCAGTAATCAAATATGTTTTTGTCTTCTTCCCTAATCAGAGGGGAAAAAAATGCTGTTTGTCTTACAGGATAATATGTAAAAGTTACATATTTTTAACACAACTTACTTGCTGCTGACACATACATTAATGGAATGTGTTCTAAAGAAAAAAATTTTATATGAAGAGTAAAGAATTTTCAACAGATATAATGTATCCAGCTTCCAAAACACTAAAGTTCTTATAATCCTGGGGAAAACTGCATCAAGTTTGCAAGTTACAGGTTTTCTCAGTCCCCTTTCTCTCACGTTTGTACACTAAGGGCACACATTTCCTCTGATTAAGAATTTTTCAATTATGGCATTGTAGTAAGATGGCAGTTTTTGGTACAGAAGTATCAGAAGATCAGGGCTGGCTTCTTGGTGCAGCAGTTAAGACGCCCACATCCCATACTGAAATGCCTGGACTGTACACTGGGCTCTGTTCCTGATTCCAGCTTCCTGTTAATACCCACTCTGGGAAGCAACAGGTGATTAGTTGGGTTCCTTCCACCCATGTGGCAGACCCAGATCATGTTCCCGGCTCCCAGCTTTGGTCTGGCACAGCCCTGGCTGTTGTGGGCATCTAGGGAGTGCACAGTGGATGCAAGTTATGTCTCTTTCCAGTAAATTTTTAAATAAAGCCCAGGACATAGCTCACTACTTGTCTTTTAGGACAGAAGAACACACTGACTGTTACTCAGGTTTGAAAAGTAAATAGACATAAAATAACTTACTTAAAGGAAACATAATTAATTACAAGAAAGGAGATAGAAAGCTCAGAAATTCTTATAAAATAGTGGAGTCAAAGACAGGGAACAAAAGCTGGGAGGAATACTATGCACCCAGCACTATTTACAGTACACAGCACCTACTGATTCATTTAATTTTAATCCAATAACTTCAGTTTACATCTGAAGAAACAGGGAGAGATTACACATCTGCCAAATGGAACGCTGATCAAAGCCAGAGTAAGAGCGAGAACTCACGCAGGTGAACTATCTTTGTGCACAGTACATCTATTCTTACATCACGCTGCCTCTTGACTAGCCAGAATCTAAATAGCAGTTCTCAACGTGAGTCCATGAACTCTCCGAAGTCGAACACAGAATTATCTGTTTAATGCATGTGCATTTTTCTGGGTGTTGTGTGAATAGCTTCAATCACATTCTCAAAAGGATCAGTAATTTGGAAAATTACAATGAACCAGTCTACACATGTGGGGACTGAATTTTATGGAAAGGTATAAAAGAATGCATTTTGAGTCCCAAAAATTAAATCAATGTGCTTCATAACCTGCAATGTCGAGGCATCCATTGATCAGAAATCAAACACCTAGCCACTGGTGTCCTTATACCTAAAAGCCAACTTAAATACCCTTTGCCAAATAAAAGTTATTTCTAGTCATAGCTAACTATCTTCAAACACACTACTTTGGCATCAACCATCTACTGGAAGGCCTTCCTTAAGCATCTGATGTGTTTTGCTGAGCACCTATTATTCACAAGGCACTTGACAAACTTCTGCTGACAACAGATAGAAAGCTAAGTAAGAAAGCTTGCCTTCAAAACACCAACAGTATAGTTGGAATGATAAAAATCTATACCCCATTAATATAAGGTAGAACTTGTTCTTTGAAAAAGACCATAAGAGCACAGAAGAGAAAGAACCTGCTACCTTCCAGCTAGGGAAAATGAGGAGGCTTTTAAACAAGTAATGAGGTTTAACAGGAATATATGGTCACTTGAAAACATCCTGTTTTCTAGAAGCTAAAAAATGGTTTCCAGATCACTCTCTACAGAAAACAGGGGTGCCTGAGGCCAAAAGAAAGGCTGCATAAACTCCTACTCCAGCTATACAATGGGGCTTCCAAAAGTGTAGAAGATGGAATTTAAAAAGAATGCCCATTGACATGAACTTTTTGAAACCTTTTCACATTTAACTCTCATCAAAAACACTGTTTCTTTGTGTACACCCAGAGTTCAGATTTAGAAACAAAACCCATATGGTGTTTGCATGCATTATCTCCATTAACTGTTGTTTTGGTATGTCAATTTTTTTTGGAAAGCAGGGGGCATTTGTTTATCTATATACTTGTTTATCATCACTAAATCAGGTATGTCATGCAGAGATATTTATTAAATATTTCAGAGTAAACAGTTTAAACAAAAAGGTAATTTTAACAAAAATCACCACAGATTTGCTACAAAGCTGGGTGACATATAAAAAACAAACTTAAGAGTTACTCTTCAGCTTGTTATGCACAGCTATCTATCTCCACACCAAATTTTCAGCTATCTTAGCAGCCAGCAACCAAGCTGTCTTAGTACAATGTCACCATCTAGTGGCCATAATGGAGAAATGTCTGGGGTATACCTTTCCACATTTTTGTTGTCTGCTAGTGAAATTAAGTACACAGTGTACAAATTAAACTTTCTTCCTCTACATTTCCCTATTAATAGCTCAATGCAGTTTTCCATAGGAGATATTTTGCTCTACATCCATACTTATGTTAAATAACATGTGCCATTGAATCCAATCATCAGGAAATACAGTAAATCCTTAAATGTTAGTGCCTGGAGGCCAGCACTGTGGGTAGGTAAAGCCGCCGCCTGCAGTCCCGGCAGCTCCACTTCCGATCCAGCTCTCTGCTAGGGCCTGGGAAAGCAGGAGATGGCCCAAGTCCTTGGGCCCCTGCACCTGTGTGGGAGACCCGGAGGAAGCTCCTGGCTCCTGGCTTCGGATCGGCGCAGCTCTGGCTGTTGCAGCCACTTGGGGAGTGAACCAGCAGATAGAAGACCTCTCTCTCTCTGCCTCTCTGTAACTCTTTCAAGTACACAATAAAATCTTTAATAAATAAATAAATGTTAGTGCCTTTCCACATCTCTTCACTTTATCTACTTTTCTCTTATGATTTTTAGTTTTCTTTCTCCCTCTCATTGTTGAATGTGAGTCTGTAAACTATCACACTCACTTTTTTTTTTTTTTTTTTTTTTTTTTTTTTTTTTTTTGACAGGCAGAGTGGACAGTGAGAGAGAGAGACAGAGAGAAAGGTCTTCCTTTGTCGTTGGTTCACCCTCCAATGGCCGGTGCGCTGTGGCAGGCGCCCCGCGCTGATCCGATGGCAGGAGCCAGGTGCTTCTCCTGGTCTCCCATGGGGTACAGGGCCCAAGCACTTGGGCCATCCTCCACTGCACTCCCGGGCCACAGCAGAGAGCTGGCCTGGAAGAGGGGCAACTGGGAAAGAATCTGGCGCCCTGATTGGGACTAGAACCCGGTGTGCCGGCGCCGCAAGGCGAAGGATTAGCCTAGTGAGCAGCGGCGCCAGCCACACACTCATTCTTTAAAGTATGATGTTCATGATGTCACCCTCAAGGATGTCCCATGCTATTCCTAGTACAAGACAGGAAGTGTTTCTCTGAATTACTCCAAATTGTCTGAATTTGACAGAAAATATTTATATACCTGAATGAAAAAAATCACTGACTTTCTAAGACATTCTTTTATTATTTTTTAAGATTATCTGCAAACCAGAATTACAGAGAGTGGAAGAGATGAAGAGACAGGGAGACAAAGAAAGATCTTCTACCTGCTGACTCACTCCCTAAATGGCAGGCCCAAAGCCAGGAGCCAGGAGTTTCATCTGGGTTTCCAACGTGGATGCAGAGGTCCAAGTATCTGCTGCTACTTTCCCAGGTTCAGGGAGTTATATGGGAAGTGGAGCAGCCAGCACTCAAATTGGCACCCACATGGGATGCTGGCTTTGCAGGTGGCTGCTTAGTCCACTGAGCCACAATATCCGCCCCTAGAAATTCTTTTGAAATATAAGAACACATTCTCATGGGAAAGAAAGTTAGTGTTGAAGTATGGCTATCTTTCATTCTCACACAATAGGAATAGAGCCCTATCCATTACTAAAAATGCCATCTGCACCGTTTCCTACACAGACTGCATTTTCCTATCAAAAGAATATTTCGAACAGTTAGGTTTCATGGCAAGCTACATAAAATCCATTTAACTATCATTTCATCTACCTCATAAAATTTAAAAACACATTTATGGTACTGGCTCAGAAACCTAAGTATTTAATAGGTAAATTCAATAATATTTTAATTCAATTCATATATTTATCAAGCAACTGGAAATTATATGTAAAACACATTGTTCTAGTAAATTAATAATATTTATTGAGTGAATGAAAACCCAAAGAAAGCTAGTAGCTACAAAAAATACAAACCAATGCCATTAATTCCTCAAATGAAGGAATGTTTACCTGTGGGCTCTGAAGTACAAAAAGACCTTTACAGGGACATGCAGATATGGGTAATTTTAACTGAATCAACTTTACAGCTCCTCAACCTCCGAGGCAATGCTCCCTTTCCCATCCTGATCTACCCGATAAGGCTCCTGGGGTAAAGAGTTCACCACCGTTCCTGCCACCTTCCTTGCTGAAACACGCCCCTCCTGGTTACAATTTGAAGGTGCACACCTCTTTCTCTGCTTCTAGAAATCACAGCCAAAAGACTTTACTAAGATTTAGGAAGTGCTATTAATTAAAACTGCTACTACTCTCTTACTTAAAAGTCCTCTAATACTAGTTCAGTGTAATTGGGGAAGGGATCAATCCTGGGCTAAATACAGAATCGTCCCTGGTACTCCTGAAGGGACCATTTTGGTGAAAAGCTGGCACTGGGAAGCCTCCTGTAACTGAGGCTCGGGGATGGAAGAAATGAATGACATCAACAGAACAGAGCCTTGATGCTAAACTCTGTCTCAATCTAACAAAATTAATATTCATCTGCTGTTAAACTATTCTTAAAAGCCCCGTCTATCTTATTAAGTGACACGTTCTCAATAAACATTTTACTTATGTTTAATAATTATTTAACAAAACTTATAATGTATGTCGTTTTGATAAGCTTCTAGAAGTAGGATTTATAAAGATAACTTTATCGAGTTTCCTCAGAAAATTCATTTTTTAAACTTTCAATTTATATACATATTATGATGAGACT